CACCAAAGGCCTGATTGTGTGATATCTCATGAATGGCTAACATTAATGAATGGTTGATAACACCACCGAAACAATAGGCCACCACTAGTAGCAACCAAAAGGATGTCGTGTTTCTCAGCAAATAAAACGACACGATTTGCGTCAAAACCATGAGAAGTACTGTCCATTTGAAGTGTGGGTCCACTTTCATCAACTTCTTTATCTGCGGATATTTGGCCAGAATTAGAGCTCTTCGGGTGGCGTGTGGTTCGTCAGTGAAGACCTGTTGGACATACAGACACAGCAGTGATCATCATTTGAGTGCTTACTTAACATCGATAGCAGTATTGACATGCATTACATAAACAAATGTTTACCCATTCGTAGTCATTGCGTGACACCTGTGCTCCCATTGCACTCCCTGTCCACTGCCGGCAACACTTAGACACTAATTAATGGGCAAATTGGCGCTCAATTGCCTACACGTATGGATTGGTTGGTTGCAAATGTGACCAATGAGTCAATTGGTGGCAATTACGGCACTATTTGCTTAGAGCTTTGGTTTAGTGGCAATCAAGTTGTGTTCAAATGAATTGATTCATTGGTTTGCAATGCAATGTGAAGTCACGTCAACACCAATGCCATTGTAATGCAATAATGCAATAGTAATGCACTAATGATTGCGTCCACTGTTATATAACATTCAAGACTTGCTATTATTGTATGACTTATAACCAGTAATCACGCGATCAATAGACAACACGATTGGTATTAGATTTTCAGATCATTAAACATATGTACGAATGAGTGAAAGCATACAATGGCTTGTCTTCATACAACTGATCCAATCACTCAATCAATCACGCGATGACAGTCTGAGACAGTGTTTGCATGCCTTCACATCCAATGACAACCCATTCACACATTATTTGTGGCCAACACTGCAATTGTGTGCAAAGGGTAGGCCTTCCCATTCATTGAGACACACTTTTTAAACTCTTATTTAATGTGAATTATCTACTAAATTAGTTGCATTTAAATTGTGGTCACTATAGATGATATTTTACACTATTTTAAACACATGTTTTGGTTTTAAAGCATAAACTTAATACATGTTGTCTATAGCGGGAGTAGACTGTAATTGATTGTTGACATACGGCATGACATGAAGAGTGAGTTTTGATCGTATGTTTCAATTGTTTTGAACATTCATTATGTAATCGTCTTTTCAATTGTCAACCAATTTGTGTGAAAAACCAATTCATATCTCATTTATTGCTTACAAATATGTTATACTATAGTATATACAGTAGTGTGTTATCCACCAAATTAACACAAATCATTAACCAGTGATTGAATCAATTCATTGATTGAACCGTTAATTGTTGGTAAAGTGATGATAAACTCCTGACACGAGTGTCACCCACAATGGATCCAAGACTGAAGAGTGAAGGGGAGGACGTGGCGAACGACAAGGACTCGGTGTCAGCCACTGATGAGTTGGTCCAAGCAAACAGTGCTAACCATAATCAGCGCCGACGACGGCCCGAAGTACCCCCGGAAGTGGATGTCCAGCAGGAGAGACAACACTTCTATCATATCGTCAATACCTTCAAGTTTTATAAAATTAATGGTTTGAGTCGTGTGTCGAAGACGTATCGGTATTTGGATTCGTTGTCCGAAAGACACCAACAATTGCTGACTAACTATAGGAAGCATTTGTCTGATGTGTGCGAAGCCATTGATTGCAATTACAAAGTGATTGAACTGATCATTGAAGACATCTCTAACTTATTTGAAAACATCGATTACACGGCTCCTGACGCCCAAAGTGGACATCAAATGGACGTCAAGTCGTTTAGATCGCAGACATCGTTAGACTCGGATAAAGTGAACTCCGTTTTCAAGCAATTAGTCCGCGAGTGGACGGACGTCGGCGCCAATGAGCGCAACACCTGTTTCTCGCCCATTCTTCGACACATTGAGGACTACTTCAAGGACTGCGCGGACAGGAGTGCGGTGCACGTGTTGGTTCCCGGCGCCGGTTTGGGACGACTGCCCTTTGAGATCGCGCGCCGGGGGTTCACGTGTCAGGGCAACGAATACAGTCTATTCATGCTATTCACGTCTAACTTCATTCTCAACAAATGCAAGCACAGGGATCTCCACACGTTTTACCCGTGGGCTCAACACTTCACGAATAACGTGCGTTCGGCCCATCAGTTGACTCCCGTCTCCTTCCCGGACACAGATCCGGGAGATTTGCCGCCAGAGTTAGACTTTTCGATGGCCGCCGGCAACTTCATCGAGATCTACACGGAGGCCGACAGTTGGGACTGTGTGTCCACTTCGTTCTTCATCGATACGGCCACTAATGTCATCGATTACATCGAAACCATTCACCACATCCTAAAGCCAGGCGGCATTTGGGTCAACATCGGACCCCTTCTGTGGCATAATTCGGCCGAATTCTCGGACAACGACTCCATTGAACCCAGTTTTGAGATAATCAAAGACATCATACTTTCGTTTGGCTTTGAGTTCATTAAAGAGGAGACGAATGTGAGCTCTTATTACACACAAAACCCGCACTCAATGCTGGCCTATGAATACCGGTCCGTATTCTTTGTCTGCAAAAAACCCATTTCTTGTAATAATTAAAAGATTAGTATTTATTTAAATTGCAATTAAAATATAATGAATGAATAAATTTGATATTTTTACGACATTTAAAATGAGGACAATTTATTAAGTTTTTGCATTTCTATTACACAAATACTGCTGTAACTGAAAATACAATTTCATTTCAAATTGCTTATCGACTAAAAGTGGTTTCCGAAAATAAATGTGTTAAGCGCACAAATATTGATTCATTAAATATCACACAATCATGTCGTTTGACTACAATTTCAGATTAGATGTGGATTACAGTTATGTTATATAATGAATTGTTTTGTGTTACGGTATTTGTTTAAATACAAGTACAATATGTTTCAAAAAAGAGCATTTAATTGATTTTATCACAGAAATCAAAATTTCAAATTATAATAGATTTGGCGAAAACGCAATCTTAATGTTTGTGATCAAAGTTAAGAACATTTTGTTGTATTGATTACAATATTGTGAATACAATGATAATACTGTACACTATTAAGAGGTAATGAATGCATTTGTTATGAGTTTCATAAACGACTAGATTTGACTACATATAGATTCAGTGATTAGTGTATCGTTTAATTCTTAACGCGTTTACAGTATTTTTGTGACTACGGTAGGCTTT